TGTTGATGTAAAGCTGATTTGAAACAATACATGAAAGTGCTGTACAAATAAATTTGACTTGTAGAGTCTGTTACACTAGGCCGTTTAACAATAACATGTGCTATTAATGTAAAACCAGATGGAGCGGCTGAGATCTTGGTCTGTGAATGGCCCTAACCTCTGACATATTGATCTGATCACTGCTGACTGAAGGCCATTGATTCACTGATGATCAGTAATGAGAAGCTAACTGTATATTGACAATGTAACACCTTTATTATTTGTTCAATGGTTTACTCATCTGCTGCGATAATGTCTTTAAATGACCTTCATTTGAGGGCTTCTCTCTATATGTGATTTAATTGTAATACGACTAATTAATTTGATAAATCGATTGGCAGCTTGTGTGCTGAAGCTCATTAGAATCACGCTCATATCGGTCACATTCTCCCGCTCCCATTTATATTTCCGGTTTCATCCTTTTTCCATCAGCCTCTCATCCGATCAGTCGGTTTGAGAACCGGAGGCCGAAATAGAGCCGGTCCAGACCAGAGTCCAGCCGCTCTAATAAGGTGTGGATTTGAGGCTTCTTGGTGTGTGGGAGGCAAATTGTTTTTTGACACTTTAGTTAAGTTGGTAATACAGAGTCATTTACTGCAGACGGTTTGGTTTGAATTGCCCTTCGCTCTGATGGTCTGTGTGTGTTCGTTCTCTTTCACAGACTCACATGGAAACCGCTTCATGGCACACTGGGGAAAATTGTGCATTTTAAAGTAAGAACAGAAGATTTCAATGGTCCCCTTTGAATCTTATTCTTGTTCAGAAGAGTTCAGGAAGACTGTCTCTGTTTCAGTGGACGGCAGCAGTTCACTTTGTTTTCTCATGATGTACAAAATCTTTTACCTGAAATCCCCAAAATCAGAATGTGATGAAGCTCATAAACGGCGTCAAATGTCATTGTGTTAGTCTGGATCGGATGATTTTCTGTTTCGGCCCGAGGAGGAAGAGAGCTCCTCCAGCTGAGGGTTGTTCTTCATCTCCTTGAACCTCTCAGGGATTTTTGGCTGCTCTCTGGAGGTGTGTGGCTCAGTTCTTTGTACAGCTGCATACAGTGGGGAAAAAAGTATTTAGTCAGCCACCAATTGTGCAAGTTCTCCCACTTAAAAAGATGAGAGAGGCCTGCAATTTTCATCATAGGTATACATCAACTATGAGAGACAAAATGAGAAAAAAAAGAAGAATTTATTTGCAAATTATGGTGGAAAATAAGTATTTGGTCAATAACAAAATTTCATCTCAATACTTTGTTATATACCCTTTGTTGGCAATGACAGAGGTCAAACGTTTTCTGTAAGTCTTCACAAGGTTTTCACACACTGTTGCTGGTATTTTGGCCCATTCCTCCATGCAGATCTCCTCTAGAGCAGTAATGTTTTGGGGCTGTCGCTGGGCCACACGGATTTTCAACTCCCTCCAAAGGTTTTCTATGG